TCTGGGGTTTATCTTAAAGCTAGGACAGAATTTAGGAAATGCTGTCCAGTTAGGAGGTATCTATAATACTGTTTTCTTATCTGGGGTTAACGATAAGATTATGAACTTAAGAACTGTTGTTCTGTAATAGCTTCTGCCCTAAATTCAGTCCTAACTGAAGTTGTCATGGTGACTAAGCAGATAAGATAAGATTTCAGACTTAAGAGGTTTTTGTAATATGGCCCCTGGTCTATGTTGACATTATTGCATCATACAATTCCTGCAGATTTTTCATCTTAAATCTTGTTGATATGTCAGATATTTCTCATTTTCAGTTAATTGTAAGAATATTGTAAGTTAGCTTATTCCTAGACATTTATTTACTAAGTAATTTTATGAAGTGAAATTATCTCACTGTATTAGTTTTAAGAAGTAAAGCTTGAAACAAGCACATTTATCCAAACTATAGAGAGATAATGTGGAGTAAATTAATGAGTGGTGAAATGATCTTTTCCAGAAAAATAATCAGCAAACTAATCTCATTGCTGTTTGAAAGAAATAATTAGTAGCATGCAACAGATTACTTTTTTGAGGAATTACCCCAATACTGAAACCATCTGTACAAACATTGACACAAGCATTATGTACAGTCTGCTAAGCCTGTACTGAAGAACCTCCTGTTCATAATGTAGATTATCACTTTATTGTCTTATCCGTCTCAGTCTGTCTTTACGTAGTTGTGTCATCACACAAGATGAAATAGTTCTTTATAACTGTGACTCCCTAAGAGCAAGAGGAAGAAACCTCGAGAGGAACCAGGGGTCTTATTACAGAAGATTCTTAAGTCTGAGATCATATCTTATCTGCTTTGTTGTCATGGCAACTTCAGTTAAGACTGAAGTTAGGACAGAAGCCATTACAGAATAACAGTTCTTAAGTCTATAATCTTATTTCCAGATAAGAAAACGGTTTTACAGAAACATCCTAAGTTGCCAAAATATCCAAAATATTTTCTTAACTTTAAGATAAACCCAGAGCATCTTAACTTCTGTTTTAACGGTCTGTTTCTGTTGTTTTATGCAGTGATACGCAACACAGTGTACTATAAGTAGCTTAATGACGCTACATTTATTTACACTGAAAACGCTGCTTTGACTTGAGTTTTTTTCGAACAGCGTTTAAAAGCCCAGACACTGCAGACACAATTTCCGCCGAGCCCTTATTGTCTCTGTGTGTTTTTGTTGATGAAAACTCGTCAGATAAAATATTACAGCGATGGTGGTGAATAATGAGGAGACAGAGCTGAACGTGTGTCTGTTTATCAGGAGGAATAACGTTAGCGCGCTCGGCTAAAGCATTTGGGAAATGGAAACTGAAACTGTGGAGCGGCGACACTCTGATAAACAGCACGAAGCGCTGAGACGATATTCTTAACTTTCAGTTTATGGCGATTTAGTTTTGTTTGACTTTTTTTTACATCAGTAACGGTAGCTAACATTAGCTGTCTAGCTAACTAACTTGATTACGTGTTTACGTTTCAGCTGTGCACGTATGGTTGGTTGCTAGGTAACACACACAACAGTTGATAGTTGGCTTTAATCGAGGAAGTTACGATTTCTTAACTTGAGATAAGATGCTGTAAGGTAAGATTCTTAAATTAAGATCAGATTTGCTTCTGTAATACGAATTTGTGAAAAATCTTATCTTGACAAAAACAAGACAAAAAGGCAAAAGTTTCTGTAATACATCCTCTGGACTCAAAACGGGAACCCATCCTTCTCTGGTCAACATTGAACAGCAAACATCATCAACATATACAGAATTTCAGTTCTATTTTAAAATTACAGCCCCTGAGTGCAAAGACCATCGCTGACAAAAAGATTGACACGAGCTAACATTTTAATTGATTATTAAATATGAATATTAATTGTACCACAACAATACTAAAAATAATATTTCCGTATTAAATTGACTGGTTTCTTACAAGTTCCAGAGGGATCCAAAAAATCTGGTCCAGTACAAGACTTTAATAGGTATATACTGATACACAGTGTAGTGCATCTTGGCTTTGTATCAGCAATCTCATCTACATATGGATAGATATGGCTTTTCTACAGAAATATTTTATGATATGCTATCCAGAGCAGTAAGGAATATATTATTAATTTATTACTGTGTCTCAGTTAGCCCCAGTGTTCATTTGCTAGTTGAGTTGGGTCTTTAAAAAGCATGTGGCTCTGTATCATTTAACTTTACAATGTGTATCATATATCATAAGAACATGAAGCAGCATTTTTTCTGTTATCAGAAATCTGATTCAACATGGAAAGAAATATTTCCTACAAATGACATGAGGCTCCACACTCACTTTAAAGCGCTAGATACGTTACAGTTATGTTGGTATCAATCAGCTAAAATTCATACGTTTCATTCTTCTTCTATTTTCTTTTAACTCCTACACTGTTAGAAATAAAGGTTCTTTGCAGGTACATTTTTCGTTCATCAAGGTACAAACAATGTAAATGTTCTCTCAACCAAACCGTGGTTTTAAGGTCTGATTGTGAACCTTAAATAAGTCTTTCTAGGTGAAAAGTTTGTATTTGTATCTTTTCATAACCAAATATTTTAAAACAGAACAGTAAAATAAAAGCCTGGAGACGAGACGCGGTGTGTGGAGTCAGTACAACTTAGAAAATATAATTTCAATGCATTATGGTACAGCTATGTTCCCTGACTAACTGAGATGGACCCTTGAGGGTCCCTGTGATGTGGTAAGGCGAGGCCTACCCCATCACCAGTGAATACCATCCCTTGCACTATAAAATATGTGTGTGTATAGATGTACTTACCTGTGTCTGCCTGTGAAGGGAGAATTAGCAAAAGGGGGACAGCAGGGAGACATACGCACCTTATCCTTATCGGGAGGATCCACCGATGAGGAGAAAGGGGGAGGGGGGGGGGTCTATTCCTCATCTAATATCCTGTGGGAGGAAAAAGAAAATAATGAAGTTGTTATAAGTTAATGGGCCCAGACAATGTATATACCGGTAACAAATTGTTTAACCTAGGTTGTTTGTATAAAGCGCTATCATTTGTTTCATGTGTAAACCACCCTGTTGTAACCTCATGGTGGGGAATGGGATCTCCGAAGGCAGGGCTTTGGACTTAAAACCCGAGGGTTCCTAAGACAGGAGACGACTTCTCCCCATGACTCTGTTTGACCGAAAAACACTAGCAGCTTGTAGTGTCTGAAGTAATGGTGTGGGGGAAGTTATAAAGGGAGTTGGGACCCAGCCTCGCGGCTGCTTCCCATGCCATGACTAAGCCTGACGCTTAGTATATATTGTAAATACTTCACTTTCCGTTTATTTTTCATTTTGTACAGTTTTTGTTTCCTGTTTTCACATCGTGTAAATAAACTACTTGTTCGTGCACTCTACTTTTAGTCTTGCTCATCCTATTGGTTGGCTCACCCTCGCAGACTTTACCAGTAAGCCACACGTAAAACCCAAAATCCTCTTCACGGGGTTTAACATCTTCACAGTCCCACCCCAGTGACAGGAGGGGGGCTGCCCCAGTGACAGTTTTAGTGTATAAACACATTCTGATTTTGGTATTGTCATCACACTTAATGCCAAACCAAAACCCACCTGACATCAAAACATTACATTGTTTTTCACTCAATATAATGCAAATAGACCCTTGACTGCTCGTGCTGAAGTCTCAAACTGGCTCTAAGACAAGAAAGATTTGCTTCATTAGGAAAGACTTGTAATAAAATTGGCCAGCTTTGAAATGATTAGTGTGTCTGATTTCTAGCCAGAGACTTGGAACCAATATTATTACAGAATCATTAGAGGAGCTTAGGTAACAGATGCCAGCTCAGAGTTTGCTGTGTGTGTATGTGCATTTTTCATGTGTGTGTCTTTCCTCTTCCATTATTCATTATGTTGGCACAGTCACTGGCAACGTTTTCATTCTTTAAGCTCTGTACAAATTGAAATTGTTAAAGAATTGAAGGAATTATTCTTATTGGTCATGTCTTTCACTTTCAGATCCACATGTTTGCCTAGAAAAGAATGGAGTAGCATGGTGTTAACTAGGCAAGGACTTCAAACAGTCTGTTTATCTGGTTAGATCATTCTTTTGGATGAATCTGGAAAGATGTAAAACGTTTTCTGGCTGAGCTCTTTTGTGAATTTAATTATTAGGATTTGAAGGAGAACCCAAGTACAGGACCCCCTGTGCCTTCCATGTGTCTTTTTCCTGTTTCTAATATTAAATCCTGGACAGTTAATTTATTCACAGGGCTTGTCCTACTAAGTAGTTTATACCTCTAATATTATCGTTACCTGTATATGTCAGGGGTCTGCACTGGGGTAGCAGACATCACTCTTCAAACGTTCAGACATTAAAGGGAACCACTTGGGTTTATACTCCTATCCATCTGGATGTGACAGTGGGTTTCATTAGCTGTGGAGATGAATGGCCAAACCGTTTTATGTGAATCAGTGGAGTGCACAGGTGATTTCCCTCCCTAATGAGGCTTTGCTTTGTTGTCTTCTCCAAAAGAAAGGCTTAAAATCTTACTGCTGAACTCTTACAGTGCTACATGTTTCCTGTCCTATATCAATGGGTACTTTCTCAGTCTGTGCCCTCTATAGGCATCTTTGATTGAATAGAAACTGCTGTTTCTTGCAGCTGTTTGATTCAATTTCCTCTCCAGTCTGCCCTTCAGATATGATTTCAGTCTACTTGTTTTTTCAGCCCAGAGCTTTTTTTTTCGCATCCAGAAATGACGTGTCCTTTGATTAAAGAAGAGGACGAGTGTAGGAACCCATTGATTGAGGTCTATTGACAGTGTAGAAGAAGATTAGGGTCCCAATTTGGAAGATGCTGTCTGGCACGGCCTTTACACTGGGGAAATCAAAAACACTCAACCACTCCAGTCGGTAATGAGTTTGTTTTCCACCTAATGTGGCCGTCCTTGTGTTCTCTCTTTTGTGTTCACTCTTTAACAGGCCTAATGCGCATGCAGGAGCTGATTAAAGCCCCGTCCAGAAACGGCATGAAGGTGCGTATACGCCAGCTGCCCACGGGGAGCAGCGATGCCCGCCCGCTGCTCAAGGAGATGAAGAAGGAGCAGGAGTTTTACGTGATCTTCGACTGCTCCTACCAAATGGCCTCCGAGCTGCTCAAACAGGTGCCACATGCCGACGAAGCCACTTTGAATCTTAATCTCCCTGGGAAAGTTTCGGGCTGAAGACGTGTTTTATGTGAACTACCGTTGATGATATTTTGGTCTTTCTTTTTCTTTCTCCTCTTTTCTCCAATGTAAGAGAAAATTTCAAAGATGTATTCATTCATAGGCATAGAAGGGAGGAGGGATGTAACAATGCATTGTGATATCGTGATATTGCAAGACAAAACTGTGACAGTATGCATCGTGGAGAATGGATATTTTATTAATTATGCCATCTAATCCAACTGCATTGTTTAAACATCAAAGTGTTTAAGCAGTCAGCACCAATCATCACCTCGCTCCAGCACTCCTCCTGACTCCCAGCTCTAGTGTCACTAGAAAGTTGTGCAACAACACGAACACAGTCATAAGTTTCCTTATTTTGTTCAAAATATGGTAAGAATCCCGAATCGTGGGCCAAGTATCATAAATCGAATTGAATCGTTGGCTGAGTGTATCGTTACACCCCTAGAGGGGAGCCTGACAGTGTGCATAACAGCCTTTCACATTCACTATTTCTAAGAATTACTGAAGGCATGCACTTAAAATCTGACCTTTTCTACAGTGTTGTCCTGTCCCTTTTTTTTTTTTGTAGCTAATGTCAATGGGGATGATGACTGAGTACTACCATTTCTTCTTCACTACCTTGGTAAGTCTTCCATGAAGAGTGCTTTTGAAAGAACATGCAGAAAGAAATGAAAAACAGGCAAATGGAGAAGCAGATGTAAATCTAGGTTGCCTCTTCTGAAATGTTTTCCAGGGCTGTCTCCATCTTTTAAAGGTGAAAGCGGTATGTCCGTATGTCCTTTGAAGGTGTTTTTTTAGGTGACCAGGTTAAAATTACTTAACTATAGAAGTTCACAGAGGAGGCGGCAGCCTTTATTAACCTATAGCTTTAACCCGTGTGTGGAGTTCAGGTCTGTGGGACCCATTTTCAAAGTTTACCAAAAAAATTTTTTAAAAAATGATGTGATTTATTATTATTTCAACCTCAGATTCTTGGTCTTTGCTCATTTTCTGTGAAGAACATATAAAATAACCCATTTTCAGTGTCTTCACTCTGTTCACCCCCCACACATTTATATTACACATGTGGTGTTGGGTGAACCTGCGGGGAGTAAAAGTGTGGAGGTGCTGTGTCCTTCACTCTGTTCTCCTCCTACATGGCCTGCTGTTAGTGTGTGTGTATGTGTTTGTATGTGTGTGTGAGGCTGGACAACATGGACAGGCTGCTGACTGGCTACAGCTGCTAAAGGAGAACCCTACACTGGCCACTTGTGATATTTTAAATATCTGGTATTTTTACATAAACTGTTATGGCTGTATTGATTCAAATAAACAATAATGCAGTGGGTCCACCAGACCACACCAACACCACACAAGTGTTAAAAACAGATTGTCTAATTTCTGCTTGCCTTTAAGGATCTCTTTGCACTGGACCTGGAGCCGTACCGCTACAGTGGCGTTAACATGACTGCATTCCGCCTGCTGAAACTAGACAACCCCTACGTGGCGTCTGTTATTCAGAAATGGAGCATGGAACGCCAGCTAGCCCCACCCAGACCCGAGAGTGGCCTAATGATCGGCATGATGACTGTAAGAATTGATCTCCAAAGGCTGACATTATTCATTAGAGCTTCATGTAAGCCACAATCATTAGGGATGCAAAAGTTACCTGTATTGATTAGAACGAATCCCTTTTCAGTGCTCAGCCCACTCACATTGCATTACTTTTACATAAACCCTGAATCATCTTGAATAAAAATCATGCTTTCCAAGATGACTAATAAAAACAAAATGTTTATTTGAGAAGCTGAAGCTCTATTTACTGCCCAGACCTGTTTGTCACCTGTCTAGTTCATTTTTTAAGTGAAATTGTTGAAAAAGGAAACTGTTTAAACTCTTGACTAAGCTTGCAAAGAGATTCCAGGCACGAGTGAATTGTTTGGTGGAATTTTCAGCAAAGCAGAGGATGCAGCATTCATAACACACAGAAATATCACAAACATTTGAAATTTAAATCAGATCCTTGTTAAGCCGGCAAATCACATTCCCAATAAGTATTTTTATAAAATTAATGAAAGACTGTTTTCATATGCACGTAGTTGTATACAGTATGTAAAAATAGATCTACTTTGGTAAAACTGGGAACTAACATCAAAAACTGTTGTCAGCAGCAACCCACATAGGCAAATCCTAAGATATACTGACTGTGGCTTTCAACTCAGCTGTTCACACTGATTCATGTCCCCATTTTGGCCCAATCCGAAATCTCCCCC